TTACTTTGTGGACCTGTGTAATGATTTGAAAATGTTGAAATATATTGTATAAGAAAAGGTTAGGGGCTTGCCGTCTCGTACAGCAGTGTTACTGCGAATAATATTCTCGTAGCGAAGGGTTCAATAAAGCAATTATAATTGCACTACTAAGTATTCAATTGAAATGTACTATTTAATACCTACGTTTACCCAAATTAGAAAATATGGTGTTCTGGCAAGGTTTCTAAGAAATCGTCTTAAGAGGACAACTATTGTGAAATTTTCAAAAAATCGAATTTTCAATTTTTCCATATTTCGATAGGTTATACCTTTAAAAATAACATACCAAAATTTTAAATCGATTTTTGAGTCACAGCCATTTAAAGAGCATATATATAGTATATGTGTATAACGATCATTTTATCTTTAAACGCGTTTTTCTCGAAGCAGCATTTTCCGAATTTGCTGCAGCGATTACTCAAAAACAAATGATCCGATCACTACCAATTTTCTTTACAATATTCTATATATTTATCCGTAAAATGAACTATCGATTTTTTGATCGGATCAAAAATCGAATTTTGGCAGTCCAAAAATGACCAAAAGTTTGGGTAAAATTCGACTTGTCAATTTTTGATTTTTTTTTTTTATCGTAGTTCATCTTACAGACAATATTATCTAGTTTAACGAGATTTTTTTTTTTTAATTTCATCCACGTAGAAGGCCGGAATAACTGCAGCAGTGAACGTTGGAGATCGACGATAACTTAAAAAATAATTAATTTTTTTCTTCAAAAATTTTACTATGTATTCTTAAAACATGTGTAAATATATTCCTAAAATTGAAATGATTGGTAAATTAGTTTTTTTAAAATAAATTCCCAAAAATCACCTTTTTTAGGCGGTTACACTAGTTGTAGCCCTTAACGGGATTTCAATGTATCTATTACAATATTCAACTGTAGTAGAGTCCACAATTAATTTCTATCCCAAAATCCACCCTCATTTACCTTTTTATCCCCAGCATCCTAAGGGTCGGGGCCAGTTTAGTCCTTCTTATCGTCTTCGGGGTCCTTGAGCGTGTGCCACTGCGCGATCGGCCTGCGAGGCGACGCCAGCATGTCAGACCAATGGCGCAACTCCGTGCCAGATGCATTGTAGCCCAGCACCACTTTACCGATAGGTTCTGATGTGCCGATACGATCGTAATCCACCACGGTTACCATCAGGTTCACTTTCTGCGGAACGAAGTGGAAGAAACCGCGGAAATCGCGGATGAAGGCGGTTAAGGGATGATAGTATATATATATATGTGTATATTTATAAAACCGACTTGATAATCATTCTTTTGGAATGTTTTTTTCGCGAAACTGCCGAATTTGAATGTATGGGTATGATAAAATTCTTATCGAAGCAGAATTAATCATAGCTGTTTTTGAGATTTTATTGCAATTTTTTAAGGTAGCCATTAGTGGCTAGTTTGTTTCTCACGTACATTTTTTTTCAATTTTTTTTTTCATTCTTACTTTCATTTTTGGAACAGTAAATCAAAGATAAAAGTTCTTTCGAAAAGTTTTTTTTGCAGATTTGACGAATTTGAATGTATGGGTACAAGGTACAGTTTTATCGAACCAGAATTAATCATAGCTGTTTTTGAGTTTTTGCTGTAATTTTTTAAGTCAGCCATTGGTGGCTAGTTTGATTTTTCACGTACATTTTTTGGTTTTATTTATTTTTTATTTTTTCTTTCATTTTTGGAACAATAATCAGAGATAAAAGCTCTGTGAGCAGAAACTTCTCCATTATGCTGCTTTTCAAATGTTAAGCTTTTAATATTTAAATTTGTCTGTTTTAAGATAATTGTTTGATTTCAATATTATCTGCAGAAAATATTAATTTTTACGCCAGTTATTTTATCAAGAATTCGAATAATTAAACGTTAATTATATGAATAAAAATTTAATAAATCCACACACGGTAGTCAAATATTTCGAACCCCGAGAGGCGATGAATCCATCTTGTTTTTCAATAAAATCTTAGTATTTATTAATACTAAAAAGCAAATAATTTTCAAAATTACTAAAATTAACTAAAAGAGTTTATCTTATTGGCCAAGATTTGACCAGGGCTTTTTCTATTTAACCCGGGACCATTAGGGGTAGGGGATACAATGGTATGAGTATATAATACCTGTAACTTATAATAATAAAAGAGACTAGCAAATGTAACGAGAGAAGATATCATAATCTAAATAGTGGTTTTATTCACATATCTTGTAGTGATGGAATGAGATGGTGATAGATCAGAATATTTATAATTTACGGTCCGCTTATATCAAATTAATCATAGTCATCCTCACCATAATTGTCTAAAATGCGACTCGAAATGGACCAATTATGATGAGGATTACTATGATTAATTAGATATAAGCGGACTGTAAATTATAAATATTCCATCACAATAAGATATGTGAATAAAACCACTATTTAGATTATGATATATATTGAACTTTACTCTACAACCTTCTTCTCTCATTACATTTGCTAGTCTTTTTTATTATTATAAGTTTCAGGTATTTATACTCATACCATTGTACCCTACCCCAAAGGGTCCCGTGTTAAATAGAAAAAGCCCTGGTCAAATCTTGACCACTTATTAACATTGAAAACTATGCTTTGGACTTGTTTTTTTAAATATTACATTTTTTAGCGAAAAACGCTGAAGAAAAAAAAGAAAAATAGATTAGAAAAAATAATGTTTAAAAACAAAGTCAATATTTCAAGGAAGTAGATAGAGATTTAGATGTGTAGATTCAGTTATCGGTTAATTACCCAAATACCTCTCATAAATAAAACTTTCCTGAGAAAAAATAGATTTAAAAAATAGAAGTAAAACACATCGAATGATCATCAAGCCGTTTATCACATCTGATAAATGCAAAATTTTCTAATAATTCTCATAATATTGCAGCTTATTTACTGCATTTTCCTTAAACTTGGTTTTATCTACAATTAGAAAATTTTGCTCCACAATTCATAGCTATTCATTACTTGGTAATACATCAAACATAGATACGACCCCTTGAAACAAGAGAAATAGTTAGGATACTTACTTTTTAAGTGGTACATTTAACATAAACATTCAATCTTTACTATTGTATTGATTAAGTATCAATATATTTACATTATGCTTTTCATTATTTATAGTGAAATACTTAATTTATTTTAAATTGCCTTGTATCCAACTCTTGCATAATCGAATAAAAACTAATCTGATCTTTTCATTGATTTTTGATATTTTCAACATAATACAAGATCAGAAATCAATTTAGAGCAAATGGAAAATATGCATTTTTTAACTTATTTAGTTGCTTTTTAAAATTTATCGTGTATAAGAGTATGAAAAACCTCTATATTTATACAACCTTATTATTCCAGAAGTAGGTACTTAGCAATTCAAATTAATTATATATTCTTTAATAAATAATGTCAAGCATAATTGTGTATAATACTCTTTGGAAGAGTTATCAATACAATACACAGTTACAGGTAGCAGTATATGGTAGAATGACTTGGAAGAGTATTTGTGTCACTTTAAGTTTCAGTTTTTTTATGATTTCGTATAAAGCTTTGGAAGACAGATTAGAGAAGAGTTAGTGAATGATGGTGCAGAAATATGTTATGAAATGCAGGAATAATGTTTGTTAGGATAAATGATTTTTGTCGTTGTTTTGGTGATGTAGGTTTATAGATGTTGAATTGAAAATTTTCGATAAATGTTATATATAGTGGATGAGCGTTTTTGTAAATATGAGAATTTTATTAAAAGTTGAAAATTTAGTTTCGAGTCAAATGATTTACTCATGATTTTCTTTATTTAATGACTTATCTAATATTTTAAATCTGAAATATATCGGTAAATTTACAAAATTTGAGTTTTAAAAATATTACTGAGCTTTTTGGACATAACTCACTTTATTTTAGCACTTTGTGTTAGACACATTTAATGCTTACAAAAATAAGGATAATTGCTTAATTTTTTAATAATAAAATTGGAAAAAGATTTATTACTTTATATAATTTCTATATGATAAATTATTGTATCATTTATATTTAATAATCATATAAACCTTATTGGATAATATGACTCGCTGATTTCTTTGTGATTTATATAGAAAAGTTAAAAGTTAATTATCAAAACAAATACTTTGGGGGGACTAATGAAAACAATCAAATAGGTAATTATGAAAACAAAGATATTACACAACACACAAAACAAACAATTCCAAAAATACTTTTTGGGAATTTATAAAAAAAACTCGTTTGTACACAGAATGATCAATGGTTTATATTGTCAGCAATTGAATCAAAAAATTTATTGACTTTATACGAAAACAACACGTCGTAAAAATAAAATTTACAATCTGTTTCATTGTTAACCTTTTAAATCAAATATTTTTTTCCACAAATTTCTGATTCAATTGCTTTTCAATATATAATACAACGAAATATATGATACATCAAATCACACAAAAACAGCTGAATAAACACTGAATGCACAACGAAAAGGATTTCTATTGATTCTTCCAAAGCTATAATACGATACATAAATAGTGGCTCAAATACAGAAATAAACCATTTGGATTCACTGTGCAAAGATAAAAAATACTAACTGAGACGTAGGTAGAAAAATAAAGAAAAACATCAAGAACTTGCGAAACCATATTATAATTTTTTTTGAATATTTTGCTCTATCAAGGGCTGTCTGGGCTCAAAGTAACTGAGCTTTTTTTGCTCTATTTATTACATACATTTTAAAAACTGCCCCTCTAACATATAGAGGCAAGTGAACAATTTCGGTTCAAAGTGCATCGTTATTGCAAATGTTCATAAAACTGAAAAATTAAGAATATAGGCAGAATAACGTTGCAAGATTGATTTCCAAATATGAGCATCATTTTTAAAGAGCGTTTTGCACATAATATAATAATAAGTTTTTGACTGCATTTCACGTCAAATTCGATATTCAAGTTACTAGTTTCAAGTATAAATCTTTAAATAATAATCGATAAAAATTACATATTAGTTTCAAGTTAAGCATTTTGTACTTATTTTTGGTTTATTCTTTAACACAAACAATTTTGAACGTGTTCTAACCATTTTCAACCATTTCTAGTCAAATGCAATTATTAGACTATTATTTTCCTGAGTTACGATTCCAAGTATGATTTTTTTAATAGACAATAATTTTGACTGACCGAAATTTTTGTTAGATATTTATCCTACAATGGATAACAAGTGAATCTTTAGGAGCAAAAGTAAAGGCTTTAAAAATACAAAATCATCCGACCACGATTTTGAGATTGACAGAGTTTCGTTCAGCTATATAATGAACCTTTACTTATAATTGATTAGATACTTTGCATCAGTGAATTCTAAAAGGTCGTTTGGAAAATACATCGGGTTAACATCGAAAAAACGTTTCCCGTTCAACAACAAATCATTCCACATATGAAGTACCTGTATCTGTTCGAATGGAACTTCGAATGTAAACGACTCATTATAGTACGGATTCAGCGTGCACTTTTTAATGCTCGTCTTCTTTTTCTTCAGTCGCTTTCCATTCTGCATCAGCGCTATTTTCACGTACGGATCTGGGATAAAATAATAAAAAATTATTTTATATTTATTACAATTTCAATTTTTATATTTATTGCATATTTTGGTAACTATCCTAATAAATAATTGCATTAACTGAATCACAAAATACCGACGAGAAGATTGATAAAATAAGTCACCTGATTTCATGTGAAAGAACTTCTGAACAAAATCTATAAATGTATCTCATTTGAAAAACCTTCAAAAAGCCTTGAAAAATTTGCTCATAGACTCAAAGAATTGATTACTAGAATTTGATTGTAATCAGAAGAGGCAAAATTTTTTATATATGATAAATATTAATATCACTTAATTGCAATTATAAACTGTACTATAAGTAATGACATAATTTTGTATTAGAAGTGGTACGAATATTAATTTTGTTGATTTTATATATTCATTGAATATTATAATATGTTTCTCTCTAGATTGTTTTATTAGATTTATAAGAATGTACTCTCAAATTTTATAATTTCTGTTAATTTCTTATTCAAAATGATAGTAATTGATGTTATAGAGTATAATATAATATTCCTACTAATGTCATAAAGAAATTCTAACTAACTAATTCGAACTAACTCAAATTGTATTTTAAATTAGGTATATTCGTTAAATAATTAACTTCAAATAATTAATATTCGTTCGAGTATAACGATATTGAACAACCCGTGTTATATAGAGTTATATAAAACCTTCTTACCAAAGGAGAAGTTTGTCTTTTCCAGAAAATCCGGTTTACTTTTTTCATTTTTTTAAACGTCTCAAGTCATTTATGATTCAACAAAACTTTACCTTTTGTCAACCTTACCTCAAAAAGGCTAGTAATGGATGCAGAGTATAATATAATATTTTATACTAATGACATCAAGAAACAAACTCACTCAAATTGTATTTTTTAAATTAAAGAATTTTCGTTCGAGATTAACAATATTAAACACTCCGTACTATATAGAATAAAAACCTTCTTTCGTAAGGTGAAGTTCGTTTTTTCCAAAAAATCTAATTTTATTTCTTCATTTTTTGACACTTCAAGTCATTTTGAGTCGTTTTAAACTAAAATTGAGAAAAAAGGGTGTGTGTATATTCATGAGTGCGTGTGAGTCAAAATTTGACCTTTTATCAACGTTTCCTCAAAAAGGCTAGTATTTGATGTAGAGTATAATATAATATTTTTTACTAACGGCATCAAGAAACAAAGTAACTTAAATTGTATTTCTTTTAACACTCCGTGCTATATAGAGTAAAAACCTTCTTTCCTAAGGAGAATCTCGTTTTTTCCAGAAACTTTGATTTTATATTTTCATTTTTTCTAAACGCTTCAAGTCGCTCTGAGTGATTTGATACTAAAATTAACAAAGAGGATGTATTATATTAATGTGCGCGCGTGACTAAAATTTGATCTTTCGTCAACGTTTTCTCCAAAGGGCTGCACTAATTTCCTAAATTTAAGTCATTTGAAGGAACTCGATATGGACTTGCGTTAATTAGATTTTGCCAGACGATCAGATTTTGCCAGACGATTAGATTTTGCAGAGAAGTGAAATTTTATTCGTTTAAATTTTTGCTGAACCAATTTTGAATAACTAAAAACTGTTTGTGATCAGTTGGTAATCGTGCTGCTTAGTTTTTGGATACAAATCGGTTAGGCCATTTTATTGTAATTAATCATATTCGTTGGATGATCGAGTTCATGGTCTATCATAAATTTATTTGCAATTCTTTTTCTTCAAATAGTTATGAAAAACCAGAATTGCAGTAGAAATAAGAGCCCATATTAAAATAAATTTCACAAATTATTTTCTTTTTCGAACCTGATAAACCACCGACATCCATTTTCTTCAAATTCTTCGCCTCCAAAATGACGACGGTGAGTTTGCCTGCCGTGGGCACGTAGCGCAACGAGAAGCAAATGTCCCCGAGCTTGTTGTCCTATAAATCGGTGTTTAATAAGCACCAATAAACTTTTATTAGTTTACCTTAAATTAACAATTAAACACAAACTCATAATCATCATTTAATATATAAAATATCAATTAATAATGTATAGTATGAAATCAAAAGGACGTGAAGTGTAACATTTTAAGATTATCAATGTTGAGTAATTTTTTTAATTATGCCATTACGATTAGATTCCACATCGGTCGTGATATACAACGATTTAAAAAACACATTTATAGAAACATATCATTAAATATATTCAAAAATAATAGTTTTAAGTAACGTTCAGTACTAGAGATAGTGTTTTAAATAGAGACAACATATAAATATTTTTTATAATTTTGTGAGGTGGAGCAACGTGAAGCATGAATTCATATAATTATGAAAAAATGGTAATAGTTAGATATAATCATATGAATAAAATTATAACAGTTCCTCTATAGCTTTTCAAATTATTGTTGTGATAAACATTAAATATTGATATTGCAAATTGTTTTAATGCCATGTAAGGAATAATTGAAGACTTTTATGCAGGCAGCTATAAATTAATTTTTTTTATTAAATTATGTGAAATTTGCAAGATTTGCAAAAAGACTGACAAATAATTTTGTACTTTCGATTAGAAAAGTTGCAATTGAGATATGTCACAAAATAATTGAACCATTTCTCGAAGCCAAAATTACTCAAGTAAATTACTTGAGTTTGCTAATTAAGAATTTTCACGATTGAACGACTTGGAATTATGATTCAGGAATCCACGAGGGTCATTGTTAATTAGTTGCTTCATTATTATTCTTATTTTTGGAATTTATTCTTGAAAATATGGGATTGTTTCGTTAAATTGATGTATTCGTTAAATTATTTTAATTTGAATTATTATAAAAACCTGCATATTAAATAAATAGAGAATAGACCTCGATACATTACGTTATGAGTATTTTTTACAAATATTTTATACTATTTTTTTCTCTAGATTTTAAATTTGGCCGAAATATTACTTGTTAGTAAGATATGAGAGTCTAAACTTTATATGGCGCTGAAACAACTGCTCAATTTTGTACAATTTTTTTACTCATAATTTTATGAATTCACATCAAAAGTGATTCGAACAAATCGACATTAATAAGTGTGTGTTTTACCACGGGACGTACATCTAAATGAGAAAGTGTGTTGCTTTTGACAAAACAGCTTCTATTTAAAAAAGTGGTGTTGCCATTTAAATACACTAGAACAATAATATTCAAGTCAGGAATGGGGCTTTTTAAAAACTAGTAGGAGATTTGTAAGTTTATATATAGAGTGTAAATAGAGGGGCATTGCATTGGGTTACATTTGGTTAATTTTATAGCTGTGTTATCACCTAGAAGCAATTCACCCCAGTAAGCAATGACTAACGTTGAGAAACACTGGCAACTGATGTAAATTAATAAATTTAATATAATAATGAGGAGATAGAATATTATAAAAATTACTGATTACTATTATTAAATTACTGATATGATAATCAAAGATAGAATATACTTTGTATCTAAAAAATAATTCTTTTCACTATCAATTATAATTTTTTTCATTTTTTTTATTTCTTACATCAGTTTCCATAGTGCAAATTTTCATACAGGCGCCACTGATTTCCTCAGTGGAATAAAACGTCACTGCATTTTCTAAAATTATACGCACGAAAACACCAATAAAACTCTAAAAAGAAATAAAAGTACAACAATTGATCTAACACAGTTCAAAGATAACTAAAAATAAATAAGGTACTTTTTTGCTCTTTCAATAATTTACATTCTATACAGGTAGTCATAAGGCACATTTATAAGCCAAATTTTGTTGTTTGAAACTAATTTTGGTATTAACAAAATAATGAAAAAGTGTAATTTGAAATATAACTACTTTTTATAGTTTTGGTTAAATTTAATTTTTGTTCAAACACCCAGATCAGCCCTGTTAATCAAAATAAAATTTAAGCTACAACATGTAATTTTAACTAAAGGTTTGTCATCTAAATTCTATGTTTTTGAACTATAATAATATATATAAAAATTGACATTAATTCATTTTTATAGATACTTGTAAATACACTATTATAATGGACTAAACACTTCTATGAATTAATCTCAACTTTGGATATAAAAATAAAAATAAATGGTTTATGAAAATTATAAACTGATTTAAAACGTTGAATTTTGAATGATTTCGTAAATTTCGTAAAAAATGAAATGAAATTAGTTTTGAGCGCTTTTCGAAGATTTTGATGAATCTACCTGTAAGTTATTGAAAATATGATTTTTTTATCCAAATGATTTGTGAGAAATGCGCTCAAAATATATTACATGATGTATTTTTATAACTACAAGTAACGTTTTTAATTATAATAAAAATGATAAATATAATTGTATTTTATACGACTCACTTGTATATGGAAGGGACACTGTTCACATCTCTGGGATATTACTATACAACTTTCAGAAACTAATTGGAAGCATGCTCAAGGCAATAGAATTATAGAAAAGTAGTGAAAATTATAGAAAAGATTAGAAAAAATTCTATAAGATCAGAGCTGTATTAAAAATTTACTGTCTAGTAAAAATGTTGAGTAAGGTATATGCAAAATTAGGAATTATCAGCACGCATTAAATATCTACTAATATGGTAAATTTGGCAAAATCGTATATGTTAAAAGCTTTTAGCGACTAAAAAAAGCAATCATCGTTCTGGTCAAAATATTGTTTTTAGTAAATGATTTAGTTTAAATACAAACTGATTGCATACAAATATAATTCGAGTCGACTTATTATAAAATTTAATTTTGCTGTCTATAAGGATTTGTTAATAATATCAGAAAGCGTATTAGTTGGTCTACTTATAAATATGATACAACATGCTAAACTAACAACAAATTTGAGTATGTCAACAGCACAGATGTTGAAATATTTTTATTTCTTCTATTTTTTTTATTTTATCTATTATTTTTTACTCAAATTTGTGAAAGGTTTATTCTAAATCTATAGGATAGAAAAAAAGTAATCAAAATCGTGCATCAGCCGCCACACATAACAAATTACTAAAGGTTTTCGATGAAATTCAATCGCCATGCAAATATTTCTACTAGCAAAAGGATTCTATGGCATGAAATAAATTAACGATAAGTCGAGTAAATGGCCAACAAGAGAAATAAATGTATTTTTATATATTTTATTTTAAAATTATTTTGGGATGGAAAATTTTATATTAGTTTATTGTAGTGCAAATTAAGCACTCATTTGTGTTAATAAATTTACAGAATTTAAAGAAATTGTGTAAATATTGTGTCAAATCAAAAATAAGTATTAATTTTGGTCAGTAAGATTCAGAAATAACAAAAAAGTTCAAATCGTTACTTATACAAAGTGTACTTGCGTAATTAGTTAGGCAAAATTTTGCTCGTTATTTACTTTTATATCTTAAAATGATTTAAGCTAATATTGATTGAATTTTTAAATGATTCGCAATATTAAATTCCTTGAATATAATTTTGGGAATATTTAAATAGGAATTTCAAATTCGTAGTATGTAAATGGAAAAAAGTGATTGGTAAAAAAATGTTCAAAAAAGGTTCGAAAAATACGTGTTAATACATTAGTGTAATAAGTAATATTTGGCATCGTTTTAAAATTCATTTATACCTAATAAAATATATGTGCATGAATAAATACAGTTCCAACAAAGTAATCCATAATTGCAAAAATCATTTATTATATTTTCAATATGAATTCCAATCTTGACTAACATTGCAATTGAAGATACTTTGTCGTTTTGTTCCAGCAATGGACATTTCTTCCACAAATATTTATTGCTGGTTTGTACTGTATTAATCAATCAATTAAATCAATTATTGTCAACCAAATTATCAAGAAATACTTACGTGTGAATGATTTGATTTGATTATTTTTGATTTTTGAAGCGGCATGCAAATGTCGACGAGACAACCATTACACAGGCCAAAAGCACAGCAGAGATAATATGAGAAAAAGAGAAACATGATCACGTCAATTGCACCATATATATTTATAGATTTATAAATATATAAAAATCATATTTATATAATATATGATATATATTATATATTTTATAGATACAGAATTGGATGAATTTTTTGATCAAGAAAAAGCGCTTCTCATTTTTGCAGCGGTTAAAATTAAGGTACTTCAAATTCTTCCAATTCTATAGAGTAAATTAAAAAAACGCACTTCATATCGCAGAAAAATATGTTGATGATATAAGTATCTATAAAAAAATTGAATATCCAAAAATTGTTCTACAAAAAAATGTTCGGCTGAATATTTAAACTTCATGGCACTGATTTAATAAAACATTCAAAAAATATGCATACGTCGTTCTTCTCCGTGCAAACTTCTTTAATCTATGCAATAAAAAATGTTCCGCAATTTTAACAAATTGCGATTTTGCAAAAAATATTATTACAAAATCATTCGCCAAATTATGTCGTTCGTTTTTAGCAAAACCTGAAAGAAAATGGTTACTGGCACCTAATTATATACTGCATTCCATACTCAAAAATACGAAATGAAATTCTTAGCAAGAATAAAATAATTAATAATTATTTAAATATAATGTTAGAAGTATGATTCAATATATGTATATTATAAAATATAAATTTAAATGCGTATGTAAGGACAATAAAATTTATCAGATTTCAAACCAAAAGGAAAAAGCGCATAATATTAGATCTTGGTTTAAAATCTGATGATTATAAAGGATTTATTAAAAATTTCCAGAAAATTAACCACGGGCCACCGTAGAAAATGGTATATGATATTATTTTGATACTTAAATATCTTTCACTAAAGAATTAAATATATCAAACATATATGAATAGCGTTTTCGGGTGTATATAAATAATAAAACTCAATTTCTTTAGTTTCTATCTTGAAATGGCTAAATAAATCTTATTAATTAGTCTCACCGACCGTGGTTAATTTTTTCCAAATTCTGCATCGATATTTTGTAAAATGATATTATGTATGGTATGTACTTATTTTTTCTAAAATTAATTATTATTATTTTCAACACAATTAATATTTATTATTTTTCTCTATAAATCCTTTATATATTTTGTGTTTTTCGGTACGAGAAAAAAGGTCTGAACTGGGTGCCAATATCTGTGCTTGATATAATTTCATGAATATCATTTGGGGCGTTTTTTGCAAATAGAATTATGTGTTTGTTTTGAGAAGAAATTTATTTAAAAATCATATCAGAAATATATTATACGTACCATAATTGATTGTACCTATAAAATCTCTATTTTTGTAAAATTGAGTGGTTTGGTAAACGGAATTAGAACTTATGTGTTTTTATGATAATTGAAATTGAAATTGGTGGTATGAAAAGATACCTTACGGTAAATTGATTATATGGTAATCTTGATTTTCAAAAATATTTTTTTTTGTTTATTATCTTATTATTCTTTCGAATAACGATCGGAATATAATCAGAAATTCGTGTATACACAGAAGAAATGAATTCAGGGGCCAAATCTCAGAACAAAATAGTTATGTTCTGTTAACGGTTTCTTTTGTTGAAAAATCGCATGAGTTGGTAGTCACAAACCAAATGCCAAAAAGCTATGTCTTTACTCTTCATCGTGCTACATATATTTTTCCAAAATCTAACCTCCAAATGTCTCAAATATTAAATACCAATGTTATCACAAGTGCAACTTTTTGTTGTCACTTATGGTGTACACGTGACGTCAAGCTAATGTGTTATCCTGGCGTTAGTACCATTTGGAGGATAGGTCTTAGAAGTAGTTTTAGTATAAAATACTCGATTCAACAGCAAAGACAGCTCATTCACAGTTCGTGACTACCAACTCATGCGTTTTTTCAACAAAACATAATTATTTTATCCTAGACTAGGCCCTTCAATTACGGTAATCCCCTACAAAAAAGAAAAATTAATAAACCCGATCATAAAAACATATAATTCTATTGAATTTTTATTTCCCGGATGTCTGTTTTATAAAAGTATAAATTATCAATAATATTTCCTTTACATTTCCCTATGTTACCTGCTTTTGGAGGTAATATTTTGGTCATCAGTCATACCTGTCCGCCTTCGCCTTCGACGCTCTGCAATTCGCGCCATTCCTCGATGGTTTGCGCCAAATCCACTTGACACAGAGGAACCTTAACTTCGCCGATTTGGTCGTGTTTGCTGAACCGATCGAAGTCAAATATCGCAAAGACTAGAGTTTTGTTCATTGCGTCCGCGTAAGGAACGCCCTGGGGAAATAAATAATATATATTGAAGATAGACTTTAAATGCATACTAAAAAATTAACTGCCAAATTTCTGGTACCAGAAATTAAATTAAAATAAAAGTTTAGAATATCTTGAAAACATTCGAAAATTTTGAATGTTCTTTGAATCATTCAAATCGGTTGATCCGAGTTCCCAAAATGGTCGACGAAAATTTGTATCCGCACACACACACATACATCAATTTTTTCTAATGTATGTCAAAATGTTCAGAAACCTTTGAAACGTAAAAATAAAAAAGAACATTTTATTTTTATGTGATATAGTTTTTTTAACAGCGATTGGAAACATGTTTGCTATTGCCTCTCCTAACCTAGTATTTCTCAAGAGGGAATCTTGCGCTTATTTAATCTTTTGTAGTCTCTATATATTAGATTTGTCTCTAATAGTGTTGACGTGTATGTGTTGCAGCAATGCCCACTTCTATAATCTTTTATATGTTTTAAGTCTCAGTTGGACTCTTCTTCAGTGGATAGAACTCAATAATTCCAAATTATTATAAATAACACAAAAACTAGAATTTTTGGGTTCTATCCACCAAAAAAGAGTCAAACTGGGACTCAAAACGTCTGAAAGATTATTGAAGTCGTTTTAGTTTTTTACTTGGAATTTTATTTGAGAAAACTCATCTACGACGCTACTATGGTCGGATTCAAAATGAAGTTCATTTTTCAATTATTTTCCAAATTATTAGCAATTTTATGGCATTTATATATTGTCATGTCGATAATTTGTCAAGTCAATAGTTGTCCAAATTATTGTATTTGTTGCTAAATTTTTCCTCATTTATAATTGGAAAATGTGAACTTGGTTTTTAACTTTCTTGCTCATATTAGAAGTTAAAATCGGGAGCATACTGAAGCCCTCAATAAAGCTTGAGATAGTTTTCAATATAATTAATAAAGCTTTATCAATGCTTTTATCAAAAGAGAAAAATGAATGAGTGTTTAAAATTCTGAACTAAATATGTATTTCTAAGTAAACTTGATAAAATTGATTAATGTAAAGAAAATAAGATACATATCAAAATTTGTTAACATCTTATTACAATTGCAATTATAATTTCTTCAATATCGATTTGAAAACTGTTTAACTCTTCACATTTTTTACAAATTTAAATACAAATATTTTTTCAATAGTATCTTTATATATAGTATTTTTCATAAAATAGTCATCAACGACGGAATAAAATGTTGCATAAAATATATTTTTTAATTATTTCTAATTATCTTGTATTATTTTCTCTATATTTCAGAATGTCTATAAATAATCTTTTTAATTCAAGTAAAATATATTCGCACTTTATAAAAAAGTTATAAGCAGATAATAAGCTTCATATATTATGAAACACAAACTTTCTAAATAAAAACGATCAATTTGACTATTATAAACAAAATTTCAGGAAAAAAAATTGGTAAAATCGGTAATATTGCAATTGCAATTGTAATTCGTTTTTTATTGATATTGAAACTCTTTGAACTTTTAAAATTTTCTCATAAACTGCAGAATGAAGTATTACATTATATTTACTAATTAATTTATACATTAATTCTAGTTATTATTCTATTCTTATTATAATATTTTGTGCCAGTAAAATATATACCATTTCATATGAAATCTGATGTATTCTCATTATATCAAATTAAATGTGATGAATAATAAATAGATAATAAAGGTCAATTACCATTATTCAAGGGAATTCGAACGTGAATTGAAACTTTAAATAAATAGAAACTAAAAAATAGTCATTCAAAAGAACACTTTGTCTTGCTTTTCTACCATGAGTACTAAGTAAATTCAATCACGTATCCGTTAAATAAACTTCTCTCAGTGCTTTTTCCTGTTCTAGAAACAATCCAGTAAACAACACCTTCGCAAAACATATCACTTGTTTTTCCGCCGGGAAAAGTGCAAGAGTTGCAATTGATACTGACCTTAAATGTGAAAGTCTCATTGAAGACAGGACTCAAGGTCTTCCGATGGACCTTGGTTTCGAATTTCTTCTTCTTGTCTGGCAGCAAATAGACCTTGACATAGGGGTCGGATGTGCCACCCATATCCAGCGCGGGCAACTCTTCGGCTTGTATTACGGTCACAGCCAAGGAGTTTGAGTTGAAGTCGTACTCCAACTGTTCAATTAAGAAATAATGATCTCATTAATTAAATTGATTTATTCGATTCAGTTAATTAAGAGGTTTTCAGACTCGTTGTCTCTAACCTTCATTAAAAGTTTGTAAATACATGTTTTTATTGGAGTTGTTGATGGTAAATGACATACGTAAACATTCTATTTGCCTACTACAAATTTCCTAATATATATGCAACCATCAATTTGATTTATTTGAAAATTTGTTAGATTTTCCTAACAAATTCTTCAGAAAAATTCACCTAATTTCTTGGATCATCCTTGACTACAAAACAAACTCATCAGCTCATATCATAACGATTTATTTTAATTTCATATTAATAATTTCATTATGATGACTCAAAGATTGATCCAAGTTAATAATTTTAGTAACAAATAATTTCACTTGTAACTAACCATTTTATCAATTTATTCCAAAAAATAACACCATTATCATTTAATTAATTTTCCTCAACCTAAGCGCTATCAAAACAAGAACGTGTTTATTCAAGTAACCCCTGCAAATAAATTACGTTACTGAGGACCTTATCAAATTAATTTTTCATGAGATTTATGAAGCGGAATAAAAAATGTAACAGAAAATTACAAATAAAAATAAAATGGTTGAAAATATATTTATCATTCAAATTAATGCAGCGTTTGGTAATCAATCTTATATAAAATTAATGAAATGTAGAAGGATCTTATGAATTGAGTTAACGTAATGATGATAATAATATAATTTTGAATCTCAGACATTTGTATATCAGACGGGTTTTATATATTATTCAATAACTTTTTGTGATAAATATAACCAGGGTATTTTTTCTGGTTTGGACAGCTGGATTTTTATACATTATTCTTAAACTATGTATATTATAATATATAGATTTTTGTATTATGAGTGGAACAAATATTAATTATGTAAATCACAATACACTACACTTTATATCTTTGAACTCTTATTTTTCAAGGTTTTTAGGCATGTGTAATTAAAAGCAAATATCTTTTCATAAAAGGCATCTTTGTTGGTAATAAAAAATTAAATCATATTTCAAAAAAATGTTGATATATATTGCACTTTCATATGTTTCGGTTCCCAATTTGACTAATATTCAGTGGTAAAACGCACAAATTATTAAAAAAACAAAAACACAGAATACAAGGCTTGATTAATTACCATATATATGAAACAAAATCACATAAAAAAATATTTTATAATTTATTTTAACAGTTTCACATACGAGGTGTGTTCAAAAAGTACCCGGAATTACTAATAATTAAATTTCGCGGGTCTGGAGTGTCTGATTGTCAAAATTTTTTTTTATTGTGTTGGTATACATGCCCCTAAAGTATGATGAAATTTTCAGCTATATTCACTGTTTACTTTGTCTGTGGTAGTCGCTAAGGTTCGACGTGTTTTTCTGAGCTCGGCGATTTTTACAATGGAAGAATTGAAAAGTCAAAGAATTTGTATTAAATTTTGCGTAAAAAATGAAATAAAGTGTTGCAAAGTGCAAAAATTCACCAGATATGGCTCCGTGTGACTTTTTCCTATTCCCAAAGTTGAAGAGACCCATGAAAGGACGGCGGTTTTCCTCGATTGAAGAAAATCGCTGAGAGTGCTCAAGGACATATCAAAAAGTGAATATCAAGGGTGCTTCGAAAATTGGAAAAAACGCTGGCATAAGTGTATTATATCTGGGGGGGACTACTTTGAAGGGGACCACATTAATGTAGACGAATAAATAAATATTTTTTTGAAAAAACGAAAATTCCGGGTACATTTTGAACAGACCTCGTAACTCAACATGACTGTTGGTTATACTTCATTTTAGTTAAATTTTTCAAATTAATGATGTATGTAATTCCATTTTATAAATAAGGCCATTAAAAAAATTCTGTAATTATTGCACGAGCTTTTAACTTTTTTCAGTTTATAAAAGATAAACTATTTTGAAAAAAAAAAACTAAATCGACTTCCATAATCTTTTAGACATTTCTAGTCTCGGTTGAACTCTTTTTCTGTGGATAGAACCCAAAAATTCTAGTTTGGATAATAATTTGGATTTTTTGGGTTCTTTCCACCGAAAAAGTTTCAAACTGAGACTCAAAACGTGTAAAAGATTATTGAAGTGATTTTAGGTATTTTTTTCAAAATAGTTTGATGGTTTTATTAACTTTTTATTAAAAGAGTTAAAAACTGCGACTCAAAATCTATGAAAGAATTATTTAAAAAATACATAATATAGTCCTTTTTTTAAACCTTATCGAAAACCTGGGGTCTGCTGGACTCCAATGTCACCTTTAGCGACGATTTTTCACAAGTTTGCGCGTTTCCGAGCATTTTCAGACCTCATTATTTTTTTACTTAACAATGAAGGCTGTTGCATTGTTCAGGTTTTATTTAGACTAATATAACTTATCATTTATTAAAAATATGTAGGCGAACGTCGTTAAATAAATTATTAATACGAAATATATTAATGATCCTCGTTGATGTGTTTCATAAACTGTTTTATGAGTAATTAAGTTGATATTTAATGATACAGAAATTATCGCTTGTAATACAATAGTAATCCTCACCATCCAAATCTATGGAAAGAAAAACAAGCAGAATTACACCCACAGTTCCTTGATATAAAAATGTTATCGTTTCCCTATTTTATGTGATTATTATATTATTGGACCAAGTTGATTATTTTGACCCCCACAGAGATCATAGTTCGGGGTTTATTCCAGCATTTCATCGGGGTTGAATGGATAAGCAGCCGAATATGTAAATTATTCTAACACTATTTATAGAATAGCCAGTGCGCATTTCGTTTATCGATTTTGGGCTTGTGTGTTGATATTTGATTCTTAACGTGTACTAAAGTTTAACTGTACGATAATTTAAGAAAATTTAAGTGCTATGTGTATGCAGACTTGAGCATAAATAATTCAAGATATTAAAAGTGAACTAAATTAGCAACGTCAAATGTATTAATAATTCTTCAGTGGCCAATTTTAGCATTAGGATTGTTCGATATAGTTTCAAGTAGCAATTGGGCATGATTTATTAACAAAATATGTGGGATTAAGATTAATAAAGAATACTAAAATAAATAAAATTAATTTTGTACGTCTGGTCTTATTTAAAAACAGCCATATTAAACTTATACATTAGTTGGATGTTTTGAAACTAACATGTTTATCATCATTATTTCATTAAGTAAAATTAATTCAAATTAAATATACTCTTGTTTTGTGTAAAAAGGTGATACATTTTTAATAAGCAGTTTACAACATATATTTCTAAATAAACTTGGAATAAATTTGAAAAATTTAAAGAAAAGCATATATAGAGAAATTGGAGTAGGTTGCAAAATTCATTCTAAACCGATTTGAAAGCTTTTTAAACCCTTAAATAGTTTTGATTATAATTTGTGCATTATTGTAACTTGTATATTAGTTATTCTTTATGTTAAAAGTGAAATGAATTAGCAATCTCTATTGCGTTATAGAAATATTTTTATAATTCTGCAGTACTGATAGTTCTAAATAGTTTCAAGTAGTTCTTGGAATTGATTAGGAAAATGTACAAATTATTGGGAAGATTGAGATTACTAAAAAATTCTTTAATTAATATTGAACTTCAGATCTTATTTATACACACGAATATGTGTTCTTATAAATTAGTTGTTGGATGTTTCGAAACTAACTAAATCACCATTATTTTAATAACCAAAACTGCATTCGATATTTATCATCACCATTTATTATTTATTTATTGTTGGGTTTATTTTGATTATAAAGTTTGATATTGACTTTGTATGATCCGATGAGGGTAATTTAGATTCAATAGACATTAATAGTTTCTCTTTATACTAAATATACACTTTTTTCGATAATACAATTCGTGGAAACGCGTTAATATCATCTGGAACTAATCCAAAAACACGTATTTATTTACGTCGTCGTTCTAATTAGCTAATTCATGCTTTGTGGTGAATTGTGTTGTGGAAGTTTATGGACTATTTTTATAACTAATAAAAGTTCAAGATTAGTTCTTTATCTCAGTTTGTATGTGAAACGTAACGTGACTGTGGTACCCGATGGTCATGGTTGTTTGACGTCATTGTGCGAATCGGTATATACTTCAAATAAATATTGGAAAATGTATATATATATATATATATATATATATATATATATATATATATATATATAATCGATTAAAATTGTATTTGATTCATACATTTGAAAAATACTTCTACTGTCATCATTGTACAAATAATACAGGCACTTGAATTTACACTTTACGAGTGAGTAATTTGTTCAGCTCAATCAACAATTAACAAACAGAAACGCAAATAAATCGCAAAAAATATATTTAAAGATATAAAATTGATTGATTACCATCATATATACTTGTTTATCTATGATTACCATACATATTCATATATGTATATGTTAATAATTTTTAATTTGATTTTAATTGGCAATATTAAATTGATTAAGTTTCTAGTCATCATTTTAACGATTTTTAAGATTGATGTTACAACTTCTAGGAAATACATCGATATGTTAGTAATTTGAATTTCATATTAACATGTGCATTATTAGAGTCTAATAGTCGAGCACAATATCAATAAAAGATATGATTTTTTTAAATAAAAGATAAGATCATTTTAAAATTTATATTAAAATCGATATGATCCAGCTATAGTTCTAAACTTCAGGTGGAAAATTTGCTTTTCCTAATATTACAAACGCAAAAAACAATATTCCATGATACTATACTCTGTAAATAAATTATTACAATTTTTATAATTGTATAAATTCACAATATTGCCAAAGATTAACTTTCCCATTTCAACCATGTACTATTTAAGTTTTTACTTAGTCTACTCATTGCACACATATTCTTTATTTTTAATATTAAAATAGACAAGCTTTCCGCTGAATGATGTTTAGAACTATAGTCGAAACTATACTTGCATAGAATTAAAAAAAATTCTCTGTTTAAAGCTCTTAATGCATATATAAACATCAAATCTACCATCACTCAAAAATGTAATTGAAAATACCTTGGGCTATAGATGTTTTTGGTTCTTCCCGAAGAAGAAGTTTATGTTTTCATTAAAAAAAATCGGCTAGTTTTATGTTTTTTCGCCGTTTCAAGCCATTCTGAATCGAGTGAGACCAAATTTGCTCATAGTATCGCATCGATTTTAAAAAATCAAAAACTGTCCGAAAGCTATTAGTTGGGAATGATACTGATTAGTTTTAGGTGAAAATCTACCGAGCCGTTTTCTTGTAATTAACTGTTGAAAAAAATATTCAAGCCGATTTTTATGGAACATTTTTTGGCGATATATATCATGGTCTTATAGAACTTACTGAAATATTACAGCCTTAAGACAAGTAGTTTAATTTGAAAAATGCATCAAAGTTTGATAAAATGAGTAGTTTTTTTGACGTTAGCTAAAATTAAAATTAAATGATTTACTTGGTATAATAATAGAGTACTTGGTCTTAATGAACATACTAAACCATTAAATTTCTGCGGAAACTAGTTCAATTATAAAAATTATTGATTTTTGAAAATTTGCTTTTAAAAAATACTCCGAGTTAACGTGTTCGTTCGTTTTCAATTATGTGTAATAAATCCACTCGGAATACTTTTAATCACTCATAAATTAATTTATTTTTGATTGAATAAGTCGATTATTTACACATATCGGGAAGTTCATGTAACTTGCCTTAAAGCAAAGTATCAATACCAACTACAGTCTATTTATGTATTATCAGTAATTTTTCTCTATATATTTCTACGATACTAGTTTTTTTTTCTATATATTCTTAACAATAACATTATTTTCAATATCAGTCTCATAAAAGTATCATCAATTTATTATGAATTCATATATACGAATCAATAAATATAGACTGTTTTCATGACCTGATAAACCCAAAAATAAATAAAATGAATAATTTAATATAATTATTATTATTTTATTATGAGTTTCTTACCTTGAAGTTGAGTTTTCCTAATTTGATTTCGGCCGGTTTGTCTTCATCGGGTTCCTCGATGTTTTCCGTGAGTTCTTCAGTGTCCGGCTGAACCTGTAACGTGCGCAAACGGGTCACACAAATAACACTACAAAATTGTCCCAAAAGGTTGCCTTCACATTCTCAAGACACGAGCAATAAGATAAAGTTATTATAAATAAAATATTTATACGCGATTATAAAATACTTAATAATATTCATCAGAAAATATGTTTTGTTATTCCAAATTAGCTTTTGAAAAAATATTATTTGTAATCTTATATAAAATTACGGAAATAATGCAATTGTAATTTTATATAAAATTACGTACATTTTCATTCATAATTAATCATGATTATTAATACAATTCATTATTAAAAATGAAATAATTTAAAAATATACTTGCGTTATCCGAGCGGTTAGCGGTAAAAAATTTTATAAACACATATTTTTAGCGACTTATTTCTGTAGCTCTATAATTTAGAAAACTTTCTCAATTAGAAAAAGTTATTCAAGTAATAATAAGTAACATAACTAAAAATATATCATATCTTGTTGTTAAAATTTTTACGTTCTTATTCCTTAATAATTAATACACTGCTTTGATACGCTATTATAAATCTAACGTAACGTAGAAGGTGGTGAAATTTCATTATAAACTACTTTAGGAAATATTAAATTATATATAGTGGTATATATATATATATATATATATATATATATACATATATATTTATAACAAAAACACTACCATGCTTTTATGATGAAACTGATCGAAAATTTTCCAAATTAATAAGCTGTGATCTCGTGGAATATTGAATCATAGTTATAAAATCTTAAATTAAATAAATATTTCAATCTGCGTTTAAATTAACCTATTCAGGTAAGAAACCAAGATACTATGACCTTTAGTGCATATTTTGAAAATACTTCAATACGATTGAAGCTAATTGTGGTTTGTTAAATATAAAATTATTAATTTTTTATAACGTTTTAATCAATAACAAAATAATTGTTGTGAAACAATATATTTCTTGTGAAACAAAATTTTTCTTTCATCAAAATACCTAAAAAGTTGTACAAGAAAGAATTTATATTGTAAAAATACTTAATAATAATAATAATAATAATGATAGTAATAATAATAATAATAATATAAGATACTTAAACTTGTTAAAATATCATAAAATAACCTAAAATTTGCTAAATAAAATAATTATATTGTAAAAATATTGTAAAGCTTATTAAAATACTTATTAAATTTCTAAAAAATACTTGCAACAAACAAACTAGTTATATTTAAAAATAATTAAAATTAACTAGATATGAATAAGTTTGTAGTAAATAAATTAAATAATAAATAAATAAGTAATAAAATAGCTAATAGTTAATTAAATTATATTAAACCGGTAAAATATTGACTTGAGCTATATTATAATATTATTACACCGATGGCTTGTAAAATGAATAAATAAATAAATGAATAGCGTAGATCCTCTATTTGTTACAAATTGACATCTCTTTCGAATATTTATTTTTTATAATTGGAATAAAAAATGTTATTGAGTAAAACGTTTTTATAAATATAACAATTTTATAACATGTGTCTTTAATAAATATATGAACGAATATTTCTGAGGGAGTACATTTAATGAAAAGTTATAGATTTATAGAATAATCTTTAATGATATAAACGTTTCGACATATTATTTTGTCATCATGAGTGGCATTAGACATTGAACTCAAATTTTGTATATTATAGAAGTGCATTATTTGTGTTACACTACTTATTGGATTATTTAATTTTTTTGTTAATGACAAGTTTTTGAAGTGAAGGTTAGTGTTATTTATGTGTAATATGCCCCTAAATTGATTTTTAACCTCTTCCACTCGCGAATTCCGAGATGAATATGTATTTTGTCGTCGGCATTCGAGTGGAAAGGGTTTTAATATATCACTGATCTAATATGCCACTGGTGGTGGCCTATAATATTATTTTGAAATGTAAGGAATATTCAACATTATTCTATAAATCTTTGACTTTTTATTTCATGTATCACCTTAAAAAAATTATACTATAAGGAATTAAAATCCAAAGGTAAATTTATTATAGAATCTATATGCCTTAATGTCAAAACAACGCTAACAGCTTCAACATCACAAGAATGAACAAAATGTCAAACTTCTACATAACTGATTATATATTTCTACGTGATGGTGCGCATACTTTTCTAATTCGCTACGTGTCTTTTCTAATGCAATTTTTCACATTTTATCAAGCAAACTGACCTTTTCTTTATACGCTGACCCTAACAGTTGTACAGATTTTAGGTCGACTCCCTTCATCCCTTTTCCTTTTCCATCTTTTCCTCGTCGTTTGCGGAAAAATCTTCGAATGCAGCAGAAACATATCCCTAATATTACGAGACATACTCCTGGAAAAATAAGTAATTTTTGAGTAATGATCAATGAAATAATTTTTATTTTTATGTGAAAATAAAAAAAATATTGTTATAGTCGTGATTTTCCTTAATCTCTATATTTTCAATCGAAATATGAATGCTTTTTATTAGATCGTAAACAGGCTTTGGTCATACTTTATAACTTTATGCTGTTATAATAAAACGATGGAACGCTCGATTGTTTGTAGGACATAAAAGAAAATATTTATAAATTGAAAAGCAACCATATAAATTGTAATAACTATTACTTAATCTAACAATATTGAAACAAAATTATGGGAGAAAATTTAAAAACGGCTTTCAAAAAAGAGGAGCTTTTCATAAAAAAGGTGGAAATTTCTTAACAGAAAAAGAGGAATTAATGAAAGAGTTCTCGATTATATAAAGATTCTCCGAAGCGAAATGGTTCACATTGAATATAAAGAAAAAAATATTTTAAAAATGCGATGAAAAAGTATGCAAATCAATGACATCTAACAAAGAAAAACAAAATAATGGAGTTCAGAAGCTAAGATAATGGTATATATAGACAATGAGAGCAAAAGTTTGAAAAGTGTATTATAAACAGAAATTAAAGCAACAAAGGCTGTTTTTACAACATACTCGAATAGTAACATACTTCAAACCTTATTATATCTAAATCATATGAACATGAAAACCAGAAATGGCTATCATATTAAAATAAAATTGTCAGTGTTAAATTAAAATAAAAAATTTGTAAATAGTGCCCTGGCAAATGTCAATAAACTTGGAAGCTATTATTTATTCACGAGCTAATAAATAATTAATACAAGCAGAGCCAGCCATATTCAGTGTTTTATACACACACCTTAGAAAAAAATTGAATAAATTTGGAGATTCAAGGTTTGAAATATTATTTTTTTGCTTTTCATCAATTCATTAATTTTGAATTATAAATTAAAATTAAAACATTTTTTTTGAATTAGTGAATCATTTGCATATAGGTAAATACTTGTACAAAAAGATAATTTTGAAAATCAGATTATACAAGAAATGATCAATAATTTAAAGCATCTAGTTTTATCGATGGTAACATTACTGTCGCCAATTTATAAAAATCGTTTTGAAAATCAGTTAAAAAAATTTGGACACAAAGTTCTATGAAAAACATTCACGAAAAAGTCGATAATTTATCAGTTATCAAGCTCGATAAAAAATGGTTGAACTACTGAAATGACTAATTTGAAATAAGGATTTGTGGTGTATATGTCTTAATTACAGATTATAATACAATTTAAAAAAAAATGGTCCATGAATGTAATAAAAAATTCTAAGGGTGACCAACTCTTACCACTTGGGGCTATACAAAAAAAGATGTCCGATTGACAGTCAACGTGTTTATAAAATTTCATTTATATATATATATATATATATATATATATATATATTATTATTATTATTATAAAATTTACCTATAATTATTGTTACTAAAACCCATGTCGAAATTCCCATATCTTCTGCTAACTGTTTTGTGATTTGTATCGCCTGATCGCCGACATCTTCTGCTGTTGATTTTGTAGGTGCTATACTACTCGAATCGTCGAATGTATCTATTATATAAAATCAATAATTTATAAATAATTTTGAATCAAAATTACATATTTAATAATACATGCATTTAGGAAAATAATGGTTTTCATTCAATTGTAGTGCAGTCTTCAGCGCAAGCTTATACTGAAGCATTGCCACGCCTTGTGAAAGAAATATCTAGAGATGCATGGATGCCGTAATTAATTAATAATATTAATTAGAAAATTCAGATTAATAATTTAAATATTCTAAAATTTATGATGTAATTATTAAGCATATATGTATGAAGAATAACTCCAAGCGTACGTGAAAATTCAAAAACTAAATTTACATTATTTAGTGTATATAGGAAGCACAATTTTGTACTAAATTGTTTCCATTGCATCACTTTGCATACATTCGAGAGAAAAATCTCTATTTTCTCTGATCATTTTTTCATTCCAAATAAAAGTTGATCTTTCCATGCTTCAGATGTGAATATTTAAAACGATACACTTATCCACTTCTTCCAAGTACATGGTTTGTATAAATAATGAGTTGCTGCAACTTGATGAATGCAATGTATGAATTATGAATGATTTGTGTGCATGTAAAGTGTTTATGTGTGAGATTTATGCAAAAGTTAGAAAGATTAAAGGAGATTACGAACAAAAGGCAGATAATTCATAACAATCTAGCAAAACAGCGAAGCAATACGTTATACGTTTTTCGAGCCATACCCTACATTATCACATTAGCATAATTCAACGTGCTGAATTATCTCCTTTCATAGAATATAAAATTACTTTTGTACAGAGTATAGTTTGTATTTTTTTCTTTGTGTTAATATAAATTTTAGGTTTTAACTTTAAATTAGTTTTGGTATACTTTGTAAATGTTTATATACATCGTTGTTGTATAACATTCAACATAAAAACAGATCGAAAAATTCGATATCTGCACCATGGTGATCATTTACTATTTAAAATATCGGATTTCAATTCTATAGTTAATGTATTTAAAAATTTTGAATTGCTAATAATAATATACACAGATATAAAACAAATTTGTTTGTAGGTAAACAAAACGTTTTAAGTTCCATTCCGATGAGGTTCTCTTTAAGAATATGGAAAATAGTAAAATCGTCAAGCCTAATAAAAAAGAATAACAATTTCTTTCAACTAAAAATTTCACCATTGCACAGCTCTTTATATTTCTGAATATATTTTTTCAACATTTAAAACACAAACAGCAAACGTAGAACGGTTTCAAGTAAAAAAAAATAGACATTTTACAAAGAATGGAAATTTTTCTGATAAAAAACCCTTAGAAATTGGTCAGAAATCTAGTAGGAAGTATATTTTTAAAACATGCTGGTCATATTTCAAATACGTTAAACTATTCTTAAGCTAGTGGGGCGCATGGAATCGTGCCTTAAGGCAAATTGCTGGAACTTCTTGTACCAAAAATTATTTTTTTAAAAAAGATTAACATTTTAGAAAGAAATTTACTCTGAAAAAAGTAGATTTTTGAGAAACTATAAATTTTTAACAAAAATTTACTTTTTTTTTTAAAAAAAAGACTAATTTAAGAAAAATTTATTTTGAAATATTTTGAAATTCTGAACTTTTTTCAAAGCAATATTACTGCTTTAACTGCATAAGAGACAAAATATCGAAGCGCGTAAGCGCCGCGTCGGCCTCCAAAACCGCTAGACCTGTCTTCATGAGAATCAGTTCTTCATCTTTTTATTACAAGTAAAATGTTTTTTGAATTATTCAAATCGGATGCTCCGTTCTCTTAAAAACTGAGTTACCGTTTTTGGCACTTTTTGCCCCATAACTTTGGAATGGCTAGACCTGCCTTTGCCAAAAACTAATCAGCACGTCTCCTTATCAATACGAATTAAATGTTTTTTGAATTATTCAAATCGCTTCTCCGTGTTCCCGAAATCGTCGACGAAAATTTGTATCCGTACACACTCTCATACACACACACATACATCAATTTCTAAGGTATGCCAAAATGTTCAGAAGGTTTTGAAACGTAAAGATGTATAAAAATTTTTATTTTCGATTTTTTGCTATTACTCTAACTTGCCCTACGGGAAGTTAATAATAATTTGAATAATGAAATTACTGAAATTTGGAAATTTAAATAATATACCTAAGTACAGAATTAGTGAATTTTACAATATCGTAAAATTATTCTTATGCTGGATTGAATTTCGTTTTAAAGTCACTGTTGACCGGTTTTATTTTTGAATTAAAAATGCAATAATTAGACTCAAAAACATACTATTAGCGTGTGTCTTATCTATATGATATGCTCATCGATAAATTATTTAAATTTTTGACATGGCAAAATTGGCCCTTGGTTTAACCCTAATGTAACACTTTACAATTTTTTATTTTAACACTTTATTGATAAAAAATGTTACTAATAATTGCTGACTAATAATTATTACCAGAAAGATTAAAAAAATAAATTACAGCACTTGATATACCAAAAAACGCAACCATCAAAATATAAAAAATGGAAACAGACTTACATTTGAATGAATGAGCACCATTAGCCAAAATTCAAATACTCTTTGATGTGCCTGTAATCTGATTTATTCTTCTAATTTAAATATTTATAACTATAACTTCTCAAGGTGATACCATTTGAAAGGAATTTTTTTACAAAGAGGAAATTTTTTATCACTTGATGACAAGCATTTACCACTAAAAAAAATCTTAGTCCCACCTAAATGACCAGCATGTCTAAAAAATTGACTTCTACCTTTAAACCTCTGACTACCATTAACGTTTTGAATAGATAGAAAATAGAAGAAATGAAAGACGTCAAAAAGAGAAATCGGTCCTGGTTCCATTTCGTTACGTTACCGATCAGTGTGGCCGGTGTCTCGGTTGGGTGTCGGCTGAAGTGTTTGTTGAATATGCGCGGTGGTGGAATGGTGCTGGGAAGGGCGTCACCCGCATCGGGGTATGATGTGGAGGAACTGAATGGTGACTCCGTCTCACCCGTATCGTCGTCCGCCGGCGCCTCGCGTTTCCACAGCGAAGACTTCAGTGTCGGCGGTGCCATGGTCTACGGGAATAAGATAATTGAGTTAGACATCGTTGATTAAGTTTATTGGTTTACATGGGTGGTATAGAAGGCGATTAGTAGTGTTTTGTCTCATTGGTAGTTTCTTGGATTATATGAACACTGGCTTGTGGTTTTGGATATTATGTTAAATATTGTGGTTTAAGCATAAGTACGTCTGGCTTCGTTTCGTTAACATGCACATACTATCAATCACGTTGATATTCAAATTACAATATACGAAACCGTAATAGAAAATTTTGTATATTCATGAATATACTGACTTTGCACTATCAAACAATGATATTATTATAAGCTTCAGTTGTAATAAGCGATTTACAATTAACTCTTACAATTTGGAAATAAGTTCTTATAACTAGAGTATAAAAACTTTTATACAGTGTAGGTACTTTTAAATTTCTGAATGCTATTATGTATTATTACGTATAATATTATGCCCGTCCTTGTATTATCAAACGATGATTTTATGAGCATCTGTTATTATAAGCGATTTACAATTTACTCTTGCAGTTAAAAAAAATCTCATAACTAGAGATTATCTGTCAAACTTTTATTTAATATAGATGACCCGACAGACGTTGTCCTGTACCCATGTCTACAATTTTTTAATATAATATACTAATCTTCACCGTTTACCTACAAATAATAATTGCTTTCTCATATCCTGTTCATATGTGTATCATTCAATCTGCCATACATATACTATATTTCATATTATTTTAATTTCTGGCATATCTCAGCTGCTTTTTGGCAATAATAATGTAGACATTTCATTTTTCTTATTCATAATCAAAAATTTATTATACATATTCTAATATTGTCTAGGTTTATGAGTAAATCTAAACTTTTGTCAGATTATAATTTTCATTTGTTTTCAATACAAACAATGGCATGTCGTTTTTTGCATTTTTTTCCATTTATTTTTACAATATTGCACATACATCCCAGTACTTTATAATCACATTCATCCTAGGAAATTTTCTTAACAAACTTCAGAAAGATTTATCAAAATTCGAATATCCGGAGTACACAGTGAGTGCTTGTAATTTAATATTAACTTTATATAATAGCAATAAAGCTCAAATTGATTCTACGTTTTAGTTAGAAAACATTTGTATGAGAAAAAGGAAAGGGCTGTTTTTAGGGTTTTCGCGGCAATTATTCGATATATTCTCGCCGTAAGAACCATCCTTGGACTTTAACGAACATTTAAAAAAAAAGAATTGGGGAAATTGGCCCAGGCGTTGTTGAGTTATGCGCTTACCAACACATTTTGCGATTCATTTTTATATTTTCAGAGCTCTGAATTTCATAGTTCTGAATTTAATTATTTATTATTTCGTAGTATTAATAGTCCAATTACAAAATCAATACATTAATTGGTTCCTAAAAATATGTGTACAAATTACTTTGTATTAATAAATGATCTCAAAAGCTTCTCGTAAGTAAATCGACAGTTCTGAATTATTAAGAGGTTATTTGCAAGACGTTTGCAATATATACTTTATTAGTTTTAGCGTAAATTTCTAAGTCTATACAAAATAGAACAAATGAAAAATATTTTATATTGTAGAATAATGGGTGTGTATTCTACCAAATCATTTCAAAATTCCCTGCAATTATGATATGTTGGATATATTGTAATTAGTCAAATTTATATTTTTTACCCGGATTTTTTTATGAACAAAATATTTTTCATAAAACATAAAATAATGAAGCCAATTTATATTTTTCATTATACCTCATATATTGTGTTTCAATTTATATAACCTAAATTTGTAATTCAGTCAGTATAGTAGTATAAAATTACATGAAAAATATTTTGCTGCATTTTATTCGAGTGAGCAAATAATACTAAATAATCTATTTCAAACAAACTTTTCAAAATTTTAATTGTGTACGCTATTACTGGGTTTTATTGTGATTTTTTAAATTTCTTTTCATTCCGAGTAAAATTATTTGAACGTTTTATGAATAGTAACTTAGAACAAATACCAAGATATTGTTTATCATCTACTTTGATGTATAAGGTTGTCAAATATCTCCCTTCCGCCTTTTTGTATTATAAACCAAGAGCAAAAAAGCGGAAGAGAGATATTTGACAACCTAATATTAGGAGCAATTACATATATATTATTAGTTATGTTAAATTTATTATTTGGAAGCATTTGAAAACTATTCAGACAGATAAATCAAATGTATATTAATTAATAATCACAAGTATACTTTTTTAAAATCTGGTTGAAATTCTATGACATTTTTTAATCTCTATTTTTTTAACTTAACATTAAAAAATTAAATGCTCATTAGAACATTTTAAATTAAATGAATTCTACATCTTAAACTTACATACAAAACTGTGTAGTTGGCACGTGCAGAAAATATTGTACAACGCTTGGCAATTTATCTTAACGCATGAGAAAACTCGTGGAAAAGGCAGAATTCTTTTATGAATATATATATATATATACATATATATATGTATATATATATATATATATATATATATATAATAAAGATTATAATTTTTCAAAAGTCGTTTTCCCAAGCTCCATTTTAATGCAATATGTACAGCAATTTTGTGATTTTATAATCTTGACATAAATCATAAATTCAAATTTTAATTAAATATCCTAATAATGCTATATGAATCAATTAATCAAATCTATGCATATACCACGCAAAAATATTTCCTGCATTTTTCATTATTTTCATTTCATTATACACGTGCAAAACATTATAAAATATATTCAGCTTATGAAAACTTACTGCAATTGCGTTGGTAGCAGAATAATAGAAGCTATAAAACGGACAATCTATTTGCGTCAAACTATTTTTAGAAAAAAAATTGAAGTACAAACACAAAAGCAATTTCAAAGGTATTGAAGTAGCTTTTATCATTAAGTTATTGATCAATTTAGAGCGATTACAGGGAGAAATGTAGTCTGAGTGTATTCGTCTACCAAAACAACAAAAGAATTATATATTATTTCATATGAGACATAAAAAGTGTCGTAAACTTCAGTTCGTCGCCGCAGGACTCTCATAACAAATTAATGAGAATTAAAGCTGTATGGTGTGATATTGCCAGTATTTCCATAATTGCTTAGAGAGATGTGGAATATGGTATTTAGACATTTAATATGCACACAAAGATATATATATATATATATATATATATATATATATATTTAAATTATAGTGAGTAGTATTGGTCTAGGGCAGGTCCGAGAGCTGGGTTAAACTCCAACTCGATTCTGGATAGAATAGTGTGAAAAATTTGCTATTGCCCATTTACACCACAGTGTCCGAAATCGGTTACTTTCATTTTGTCATTTATATTTTCATTGAAAATAAACATTGCTGCTGCACGATATCAGGTTACTAGAGCGGGGGCTTGAACTGGTGACACCCCGTCCACACGAGACCGTATATAATTATTCTGCGTTCGTAAAATTGTGTAATTTTGAAGTTTGCTAATTAAATTTATATAATTGTCCAATTTGTAATCATAATTGATATTATTTTTTTCCTGACGTAAATTCATACAAAAGAGAGTGGTTGAAAGAACAAAAAAAAAGTAGAACTCCATTAAAACATAACAAGAATGATAAAAAAGTGTAAATATTTTATAGGAAAAAATATATGAACATATGATATTTCATACCTTCACGTTTCAAAATCATCTAATTAGCTAATTAGTTTATTATATAAAAGTGGTTGCACGTGGGTTATTTTAATTTTAAATAAATTCGCAAAATATTCCAATTATTCTCGGAATAGTATTCCTGGAAAATTTCTTTGTACCCTTGACATTTATTTGTCAATATCCACTGAAACAGAAATAAGTTTCATCTTTCAATGGATATCGTGTTTCTTTTACTCATAAACATTTTTTTCTTTGATTCACTCTACTCTTTGTGAAATCAAGTTATTTCATTTGATGCAAAAGTTATTCGGCCATTGTCAATAAGATTTAGAAGGCAGTGATAAAAAAATATACCCATTAGTGAAAAAATACCCTCAATATAATATACTGATTTATAATTAGAAAACAAATGAAAAATTATCGTTTTTGAGAATTTACTCTTGAGAATCTAATTATAACGTATTACGATTATTAAACATTAATTTATAATTTTGGAAAAATTAATGTATGATTTTATATAAAATCGTTCATTGATTACTTAATATATTTAAATTAATTATATTTTACAAGAATATCAGTCTATTTTTTTCTAGACTTTCATTGTGAATTTTTGAAAATTTCTCCATCGTCTCCATCAAATGCTACTGATGCTATATGGGTATATTCATGTAATTTTTATTTCTATATATATATATATATATTTATAAATTAATTTTAATTCTACTCTATCGAGGAAAGAATATCCTCCAGAGCATTGCGTACATCACAAATTTTCTTAACGTAGAAGAGCGCCTCGTAAATTGCTTGCGTTATTAACAAGTGGGTTGCGAAGAGTAGGTTGTTAAAAAATAGGTCGTTTACGTGATGGAAATACGAGAGGTCTATAATAATATATGGCATTACTGAAGGTTTTGATATTCAACGGTCATTAAACTGTTCCATGCTCCCCTTTTTGGAGTAAAAATAATAAACTATAATTATGTGTGTATTATAACCACACTTCTGATTTTTGTGTAACATTATTTCCGTTATTTCAAACTTTTTGTTTTTAATTATTTTTTCATAAATACTTCAGTTATCGAAATTTTCATCTCATTACATAGTTACAATAAATTATCTCGTTATTTTTATCTTGGGGTTGATTTAGATTTTGTCAGTGTAGAACGACTTGAGATGAATTGCATGTATCAAGAATAACTTCGGTTTATGGGTAGATAAATACGTCTATTAAATAATTCTGCATAATAATAACTATACATTCTTTCAATAAAATGCATTCAGAGAACTTTTGGTGTAGATTACACTCATTTTGGTATATTGAACAGTTTTTATG